ACAAACGCACTCACTAGCTGCTGCGACACAGCTGCTGTGGGCGCCCTGTGGGTGGCGCTGTGCTGCAGACACAGGAACTTTGTTTGACACATAACCAGAACAAAAGGCGAGGAACAAAGACACACAGCAGCAGGCAGAGGACCATGAGGGACGGGGGGGCGGGTACAGGTGTGGGCGGGGCTCTAGTACAGGAAGTTAAACTAGAAGAACACATATGGACAGACTGCCCCTCTTAACCTAAACTCCCTCTAACTACAGCGATCATGAGCACAGCCGAACAGCTCAGAGGAGTCAAAGTTCACTGAAGGAGCCCAAAGAAGTTTGAGCTCAGCTGTTTATGATGTAACTTTAGAAGAAAGCAGATCACAGCGAAACAAATCACAGCAGCCTTTAATCCTTCTCCAGTAGTTCTTAAAGAGACCCTGAAAACCAGAGCAGGCTCACAGCACGCCGCTGTGGTTACACAACCTGACCTCTGCTGTCTCTGCCCCACAGCCAGCCCCACACACCCCACCACCATCAACGGGGAGGCCCGACCAGCAGGAGAGATCATCAGTGAGTGTGCAGCACACACACACACACACACGTGGATGTTCCCACGCTCTCCTGCAGCTCAGGTTTGCAGCCTGAGGTGAGTTTACTGAGAGCAGCGTCTAAACGAGGCTGTGTTCTTGTGCAGACTGCGAGTGCAGCGCAGCAGGAACCGTGGAGAACTCGTGCAGGGCCGACCCTCGGACCGGGACCTGCATCTGCAAACCGGGTTTCACCGGAGACCACTGCGACGCCTGCGCGCCGGGCTTCTACGGGCTCAACTGTGAGGGTGAGACGTGCACACTTAAGCGTCAGGAACATCCCCACGGCTGCAGCTTCAGCACGAAACACACGAGCTGCAAAAAGCTCCACCCATCTCCACCTAAGCTGACATCACAAACTCCACCCATCTCCAACATGTGTCAGTCACACCTGTGATCTGATGACTCACAGCCGTCCAATCACAGAGCCGACGTCCTTGTTTCAGTAATCCACAAACACAACACTGACACTGTGTGTGTGTGTGTGTGTGTGTGTGTGTGTGTGTGTGTGTGCAGCCTGTCAGTGTGCAGGGCCTGGCTGCCTGGACGGGTCATGTGACGAGGTCACCGGTCACGGCGTGTGTCGCAGCGGGTTCCTGGGTCCTCAGTGCGATCGGTGTGCTCCGGGCTACTTCAGCTACCCGCTGTGCCAGCGTAAGTCCCGCCCATCAGACCCGGACTCTCCTCATGACCTCCTGCACGCGTGTAGCTCAGCAGTTACGTGTCGTTCAGCTGGAGCTCACACATGAGCGACAGTTTGTGTGTAATAATCCTGCGAGCCCACGCTGCAGTCACAGTCTGCGCCACACCGCAGCGAGCTCGTCACACCGCAGCGAGCTCGTCACACCGCAGCGAGCTCGTCACAGCGCAGGTGTAAACGGCCTTACGTGCACTCAGCAGCCGCAGCTCGCCGTCTCATTGTGTGTCGGCTGTGTTTGCAGTGTGTGGATGCAGCTCGCTCGGCTCTCTCCCTGAAGGCTGCGACGCCGCCGGGCGCTGTCTGTGCAGACCGGAGTTCCAGGGTCCTCGATGTGAGCAGTGCAGATCTGGATTCCACTCCTACCCCGACTGTAAAGGTGAGAGAACCTGACACACATGGAAACACTGAGCGCACC